ATGTTAGTTTTTTTTAAATACGCCATTTTGTCTTGGGATGCAAGTAAGCAGGTATGCATTGGGCTGAATTTTAAGTATACTTTCAAATGTAATCAACCTGGTTTGCCCAATTTTGCCCAACTTCGAGCTATTGACCTTGGAAATAGTGCTTATTTTGGATCAAAACCTTGAATATCTTAAGAAATATTGAGAATAGGGACTTGCTTCCCTATACAAAATGGCGTATTTTAAAAAACAAACATTTGTGTAGAACATATTAATGCCAAAAAAATTGCTTCCTGAAAAGTTATTTGCAAAAAATGATTTTCTGAAAGCTCTTACCAAAAAATGACATATCTCTGTAAACATAAGAGATAGAGGGTTGACGTCTTGAGCAAAAATGTTTGTTTTAATATTGTCTAAAACTTTGCTCAAGACACCATTTTGCTATCTTGACAAACAAAATAAGTAAATTTTTCATCTCCCTGCTTAAAAGAAGGGGCTTTTTAAGTGGACAAACTTCTCCGAAGACACTATATGGCTTAAATGGACCGTTTTTGCATAAACTAAAAAACGCACGTTTTGTCACTTCTTGACCATGTGGGATGCAAAGAGAAAATTTACAAAAGCAATCTGTCAATGTTACTTAGGAGCTAATGCATTGTTCGGCTTGCTATTACTTGACTTGACAGTTCGTTATATGAGTGGTCGTGAGATGATCTATTTGGCTCTATTTTTATTCTAACAGCACCGTGATTTATGTTATCTGGATCAACCGGCAAGAAAACGCTGTCTCTTCCTCATCAGTTATTACCAACCATGCAATGCGATCCAGTTCTTGAAACTGCCGAAAACATCAGCAGCGCTGGTGATACATAACATATTTAAGCTCTAACCATGTATCATTAAATGCGATAAGGTGGCAACAATCGTAATGCCATCAAAACCATTCTTACTTTCCCGCAATGGGCAGTTGAAAAATGATTTAGTTGTTTTCATTTTGACGAACACCATTTGGGTGAATCATGCCTTCTTATAAAGTTATTTAGAAAACTATACCTATTTTCCGCAACGTGGCACGACATATACCAAGCCTAATCATAGAGGAAAAGGAGGAGCTGTCAAATAAGCACAAGAGCACCAGAGAAATTCGGGTTCACTTTAGTTGTTCGCAGATGACAGGCGTTGCAGTTCTGTGGTTATTACCTGAATACTGCGAACTAACTCAAAATGCTTGTCATCTGGGAGCCGAGTCGAGCTGTCAAACAGGAGCCAAACATTCAAAAGAGCTCAGAAGTCATGTGGGTAATTACTGTTTGTACCACAAGTAAAGGTATTCCCGGAAAAAAAATAACCTTACAATTACAGTAAAATAATATAAAATCACAACAAAATCTATTGCCGACAATCGATCTTATTGTATGTATACCATGCAAGTAAATCTAAATTATTGCTATAAAAATAGATCTACTATACGTCCCATATTGCATGAATTTTCAACAATAGAAAAACAATAAATTCAGTGATAAATGGCTCAACTTTGTTCGGGAAAAAGTGATTTTTTGTATGGTTAAGATACATAACAACCCCCTTGTTCTATTGTAGATTTCCCATGTACCTCAGATTTTATGGTGCAAACCATAAATGCTATGGTTATTTTTATCGTTGTGAACAGTAAAATTTATTTTAAGTACAATAAATTCTATTGTATGATTACAATACATTTCATTGAACCTCTATCGTTCTTTTTTTTACGGGTTGCCACATACTGAAAACAAATTAAGACTTATAATTATGAAACTGTCGAAACATCAACCTTAGTAGGCGGAAAATGTAAATCATCGAACGTGTTGCTCGAATAAGTAAAGTGTTTTTATTTGATATCAATAATAATGCCAAAACTGGGTTTCGAATTGCTGAATCAAGAATTTTATCAAACTTTATAAGAGTCATGTGAGCTTTGTAAGCAGGTGCACTCCCAACACCATGTATACGTTATTTGTGAAGCAGAGAAGGAGGAGCCAAGAGTTCATTTGACAGCATGTAGGGGAAATGTCTCTAATATTGGCCTATGGATCTAAGATTGGGCCCATCGCTAAAAATCTGCTTTTTATCAATTTTATCTAGATGAACGCGTTATTGGGACGTTACTAATGGATATTTTTGGTTGCTATTGAAAATTTAGTCGATTGCTGAATTTATGTATGGGCCCAAATTAGGGACACTTAGGCCGACATTACCTGCATTTCCCCTATATACGATTTCGTGAGCTGTTTCAGCAAAACAATTTGAAGCTTCGAAAGATTTTCAAGAAAAACTACTCATCGTACTGTTTCTCGAACAGATCAGGAGTTCCACAGGGTAGCACTTTGAGACCAATGCTCTCTCTTTATTTGTGAACGATATAACGTTTATTCTACTACGTGGAGGTAAATTGTTTTTTGCCGATGACTTGAAGATTTATCTAGTCATTCGAGGCTATGCCGACTGTTTAGAACTACAAAACCTTCTTGAAATCTTTAATGATTGGTGTGAACGTAATTTTATGGTCCTGTGCGTCTCAAAGTGCTGCGTAATTAGTTTCCGTCGAACTAGGACTGCCATTTTGTTTGATTATAACGTTGCTGGAACTGCAGTTCAACGTGTCGATCACGTTAAAGACCTCGGTGTCATGTTGGATGAAAAGCTCACATACACTCGCCACTTCTCAACCACGATCGACAAAGCTAATCGACAGCTTGGATTCATGTTCAAGATATCTAAGGAATTTCGTGATCCTCTGTGTTTTAAAGCCCTTTACTGTTCATTGGTACGCTCACTACTGGAATTCGCGTGTGTTGTCTGGAATCTTTACCAAGCTGTATGGAGTGGACGATTCGAAGCTGTTCAACGCAAATTCGTCAGATACGCACTGCGCTATCTTCCATGGAGTGAACCGCTGAATTTACCACCGTATGCTGACCGCTGTCGTTTACTGGGTTTGGATACTCTTGCTAAACGACGAAACATATCGCAGGTCGTCTTCGTTGCTAAAGTTTTACTCGCAGAATATGATGTTCCTGAGTTACTGGCCAAAATTAATCTATATGCTCCTGCCCGAACACTCCGTCCGAGAACCTTGCTACATGAAGTAGTACATGCAACCAACTATGCTGCAAACAGTTCCTTTGTCGCCATGATTCATCAATTCAACGAAGCCTCTGACCTATTTGACTTTGACATCAATGCCTCGAGGTTTCGTCATCGTTTGCTGTTCGCCAATTTTTAATCTTTAATGAGTTACTACATTTAGATTTAAGTGTTTCATTGAGACTATCAAGTCAGATGGACTATAATAATAATAATAAATAAATAAATAAATAAAGATGTTTTTTTGCTCACTTAAAAAATCAAATCTACAGAGTTTGCAATACCCAGGTTATTACGCAAGAAGTGAAAGTGACGTCAACAATGTGTTTACGTATGTATGAGAATGAGTGAAAAAAGTTGCTCAATTTCACATGCTGAACCTTTGTAGATCGAGGTTGATCTTCGATAGAACGAAATTGCAATCATGTATAGACCCAATTTAAGTACAGTAAACTGACATAACATCCACGTACCTGGAATGTTTTCATGTCATCAATATCCGAATAATAAGAATATCCAAACTTACATGTTGAAAGTGAAACATCGACTGCAGCTAAATTATCACATAAGAAACGGTATAAAATGAAATTGATGGCTTCATATTACACCGAGGTCAGGGACAAACCCTAAGTATTTTTTTTCCTTGATTTGTTTTCCGTCGATCTTGTTTTCCGTGCTGACCACCAATGCTACCGACGCCAGGGAGGCAGCTCCCACACCTGGACCCTACGTATCGACCCATCAACTCATGAACCGGGGACCAACGGCTTTACTTCCCTTCCGAAAGAAGGCGTGATCAAAAATGCTATGCCTCAGAACATCCCGGCGGCGCCGACTGGGTTTGAACAGTTAACAATTTACAGTTCTTAGGCCTGATATTCGCAAAGGTTGAAACCCCAACTTGTACTTCACTATTTAATTCTTTGAATCGGTCGTAGGACTTCCGTAAAGTGGTCGTCATCAACCTTTTTTGAACTGACTGACACTTACCATCTTTTATTATTGTTACGTAATCACGCTGCCCAGGCATTGCTGTGCTGGTTTCATCGTCTTCAAAAAACTGCAAAACAAGTTCCTTCGAATCCTCAATCCACTGCCTAACATCGAAGCAATAGTGGAGTGTACACTTTATCGTTTAAAAGTTGCTTAGATTGTGTTGTCATATACCTGGTTGCGTTAAATGTATCTATAATTTTCTTAACTGTCTATGATCTAGGTAATACCGTCAAGAGCTGAAATTTCTCAGTTTTCGTTGTATCTTCTTTCGAAAACTTTTCTGTCAGCTGTTCAATAATTTCATTAAAATCGCCAGTTTTGTTATCATCTAAGTTTGCTTCTGCATTAAGTTCAAATATGTGCTTTCGAATAATTTCATGATATTTCTTCACAGCATAATTTACACAATTCATTATTTTTCATATCAATTGGTGATGTCAAAATACAAGATATAGATTTGTTGAAAAGTTCAATATTAACTGCTATGCCTCAGAACATCCCGGCGGCGCCGATTGGGATTGAACCCAGACCTGCTGGGGTCAGAGGTAGTCACGCTCACCACTACACCACCGGCACCGCTTAAGTATACATTTGTTCGGCCTAAATTTGGCATCTTTTATCGTTTGCGGTTATTGCTGCAAAATGCAACGCAGTTAAAATCGCACTTTTTAACAACGCTTTGAAGCACATCTCACCGCATCTACCACAACTGATAACAACAAACGAATTTTGCAAGCCTTTCAAAGACGATTGTATCAATAAAAGCGATGATGTTGTCACTATTCCATTCAGTTGCTTTCAAACAACGTTCAGAGCTAATAAGATGTCACGACCAAATTCAATCATTTGTCTGTTTTTGGTGACAACATTTTGTGTATTGACCATCCAATCGGCAGACAATGTGCTCTCGACTGCTCCGGCTGAAACCTCCGGCAATGGCTTTGGATATGAACTTATTCAGTCCAAGCTGGATTTGTTGGATTATCGGTAAGTTTAACTCATTTGGATAGGAAACAGACACATAATAACACCTCGTTTTCAGTTTTTCAGAACTATTTGTTCATCTGAAAGAGCAAGGTGAAGGGTTTTTGAACAACCAACGAAGTATTGAGGCCGAACAGCGTCAGCTGAATCTAATCGTCGACCGTCATGAGCGTAAAATCGTCAACCTAGTGGAAGGCATGGAGGATGCTTTCGGAGCGAACGTTAGTCTAATTACGGATCAATCGCGTCAGATTTTGGAACTGCAAACTTTCTGCTCCAATCACGATCACATTCAGAATGAACTGTTGAAGCTAAGGCCCAAGATTGCTTTAGGGATACCGGATTGTTCGGAAAAACTGAGATCGAGATCGGAGGTGTGTCGTATGTCAATTGCAGAACAGAAAACGACTGTCTACATGGACCAACATCGTTTTGGAGGGCATTGGCTGGTTGTGCTGCAGAGATTCGATGGGTCGGAGGATTTTCATAGGAACTGGTCTGATTATCGGAACGGATTTGGAACAGTTGGCCAAGAGTTTTGGTTGGGACTAGAACGATTGCATCAGTTGACGAAAAACACGGCGTATGAGGTGCTGATGGAAATGGAAGATTTCGCAGAAAATTATCGGTACGCTCGATATACTAAGTTCGCAATTGGACCGGAGGCAAACCATTATTCGGTGGATGAGCTCGGCACATACAGTGGAACGGCAGGTGATTCATTTACGGCGCACAAGTTGAGTAAATTCACGGCTCTAGATAACGGCCCCAGGAATGAATGCAATAAACCCTACACCGGAGGTTGGTGGTACTTTGAAGGACGATGTTACGACACGTGAGTTGAGCGTTTATGTTATCGGTTGAAAGTATTATTAATTGATGATTTCTTTTTCTCTTAAAATTTCAGTCACCTCACTGGCAAATGGGATAAAACCGATGGATGGACTTCGATCGTTTGGAAAAGTTTTGGATCACCAGCACATACTGCCTTGAGATATGCACGAATGATGATTCGAAAAGTTTGAATTTGAGTGGTTCCATTACTATTTTTACAGATTTTTTTTTGTATGATAAAATGCGTGTCATTAACTAACAATTTGTTGAGCAGGCCCAGGCTAAATATCGAATAAAAAGTTTTTTTTAATCATGTAAAATTAAAATCGAATGCCGCGACCCAACATTGAGCAACTACTCAGCTTTTCACAATTACTCTTAAAGATGGCTGGAGGCAACCTGCAACCGTTTTCATAGGAAATCTAATGTGGATTTATGTATGTTACCAACATTTAAGTTTTGGTTTCCGTAGGGGCAAGGGAACGAACGACTGTCTCGCGCTGCTTTCCACATAAATTCAGTTGGCTTTTGCTAAAAAGGAGCAAATGGCTTCTGTATTCTTGGATATCAAGGGGGCTTTTGATTCAGTACACACCAATTTTCTTAAATCATGTTCGGTACTTTTTTGCAGGATTTTTTCGGTAAAATGTAATTTTTACCGAACCCTTTGTAAAATATATCATTTTACCAATATTCCGTAATCAGAACTGCTGACTTTACGTAATTTACATAAATTTACCGAAAACTGTAAATAAAATTTGCAGATCGAAACTGTAAAAGGCTGCGATTCAGCAATTCTGTAAAAATTTTGACGAATGTACTGTACAAATAATCTTTTACAAACAGAAACAGCAATAAAGAACCGAATTCTGTAAAAGTTACTGAACAGATTTTCGTGCTGTCAAACTGAATATTGGCTGCCATTTCGATGTTGCGTGTCTTTCGGTTCTACGTTGTGAAACGTAAGTACTTTACTTTTAGGAAGACTCCGGTCAATTTATGCCGAAAATATAATTAATATTATTTCAAGGGCAATTTTTTCAGACGTCATGAACTCAATGTCCTCATCTACCGCAAAAACTGCATTTTAGCCTTCGATTTTAGCACGGTTTGCTACTGAATCGATCGAGTCCGGGTTCTTAAACGATTTTTATGTACAAACGAAAGATGAAAATGCCTTTTCAAAAATATATGGTTTAAAGGAATGAATCTTTTGGTTTGGTGACCTGGTTCTTACCAGTTAATTAATCAATAAAAATTAAAATTTTTACGATTTATTCTGAAAATAAAGTACAGTCGATTCGGTAAAAAATATACTGAACGCTATGGTAAACTTTACTGATCTTTCAGTAAAATTTACATTCCAAATTAGTAAATTTTGACAGCTCACAAGCGAAGAAAATTTACAGAACAGATTGTAAATAAAAAATTACCGAATGGATTACCGAATGTTCAGCTGTTCCATATTCGGTAAAAAATTACAGTATACTGTAAAAAAAATCTTAGTGTGTATCGGTTGAAGTCCTTTCAGACAAACTCCAGACTTGTGGCCTTTCTCCATTAATTAATAACTTGTTGTACAATTTGCTGTCAGAGAAACGTATGAGCTTTTCTCATGGAATCTCTACAGCTTCACGATTTAGCTACATGGGTCTCCCCCAGGGCTCATGTTTAAGCCCCCTTCTGTATAATTTCTACGTCAGAGAAATTGATAATTGTCTTAGTGACAACTGCACGTTGAGACAACTTGCAGATGACGGTGTAGTGTCTGTCACAGGATCCAAAGAGGTCGACCTGCAAGGACCCTTACAGGATACCTTAGACGGGTTGTCTACTTGGGCTATTCAGCTAGGTATCGAATTCTCTGAGTCGTTTTTTCTAGGAAGCATAGCCCAGCACAACCGAAGCTTCAACTTTTGGGTAGGCCGATCACTCATTCTATGTCCTTCAAATATCTTGGGGTCTGGTTCGATTCAAAATGAACCTGGAGATTCCACAGTGAGTATCTGAAGCGGAAATGCCAACAAATGATCAATTTTCTCCGATCAATTACCGGAACGTGGTGGGGAGCCCATCCGCAAGATCTTCTAACGTTGTACCGGACAACGATTTTATCGGTTTTAGAGTACGGTAGTTTCTGCTTCCAGTCGGCGGCTAAAACGCACATCATCAAACTGGAACGGATCCAGTATCGCTGTCTTCGTATCGCGTTAGGATGCATGCACTCGACTCATACGATGAGTCTCGAAGTGTTAGCGGGCATGTTGCTACTATCGGATCGGTCTTCGGAATTTTCCCTCAGGCTCCTTTCCCGTTGTGAAATTATGAAGCCACTTGTGATTGCAAACTTTGAGGAGCTTCTTGAGCTAAACCCTCAAAATCGTTTTATCTTTCTTCTTCTTTCTTTTATTTAACATCGGTCTCTGTTCCGCAATCTAGTGCCAATCACCGACGGACATCGATTGCCATCCATTGACGGCAATCGAATGTGCAGGAAGACAGCTTCCACACCTGCGTAGGATATCGCACCCATTCAAACACACATGGGCCGGGACCAACGGCTTTACTTGACGTGACCAGAGATTTTTATGCCTCAGAAAAATCCCGCCGACCTCGACTGGGATTGAACCCAGACCCATTGGGGTGAGAAAGCAGTCACGTTTACCACTACACCACCGGCGCCGGCTAAAAAATCGTTTTATGTTATTGTACTACGTGTACATAACACAGGATGTCAGCCCTTCACAACATAATCCTCATCGTGTTTGCTTCTTCGACTTCGGCAATTCAGTTAATTTTGATTTATCTATGACGCAAGAGATTCGCGGAATCTCAGAGCATCATCGTTCCATGATTGCTCCGTCAATTTTTGCTGCAAATTTTGGCCAAGTTGATTCCGCAAGATCGTTCTTTACAGCTGGATCACTAATAGAGGCGTCCGGTGGTTTTGGTATTTATAACGAATTTCATAGTGCCTCTCGACTGCTTCAAGCTCCTTGTTCCGTATATGTTGCTGAACTGGCAGCAATACATTATACGCTAGAAACTATCGCCTCACTTTTATTTTTACGGATAGTCTCAGTTCTGTCAAGTCTATTCGCTCCATGAGGCCGGTAAAGCACTCCTCGTATTTTCTCATAAAAATACGAGAGCTTCTAAGTGCTTTATCTTTAAGATCTTTTGTCATCACCTTTGCATGGGTCCCATCTCATTGCTTGATACCGGGCAATGAGAAGGCGGACTCGCTTGCAAAAGTGGGCGCTATGGAAGGCGATATTGAACGTTAACGTCTGACAATCTCTGCCACAAATAGGTGTAACCGGTCAGCCATGCAGTCTTCCCGTTTTCAAGTAAAAGTGGCTTAAGCGCCACTCCCGAAGGAGACCACCTACCAGGGATAGGGTTGCCCGACCGTATGAGACCTTTCAGGGGAAGGCTCTGATTTTCCCAAATTTTGGGCGGGAGGAAAGTTGGCTGATCGAAATGGTTCGAGTGCAAAAACATGCAACGAATTCCAAAATGCAACTACTAGAAGCGTGTGATCAACTGTCGGCCGGCGACGAATCTGGCTAGCACGGTGGTTCTCATCACAGGTAAACCGTCTCGTTTCCTTCGGATCAATATGTATGCAATTAGGGAGTTGCTCGGTTGGATTCGGAGCCAACCTCCCCAGTAAATTAAATTAGCAAGTAAATATATGCTAACGAAAACCCAGCAACATGAATACCTATTCAGACAGTATCACTTCATCGGGATCTACTCTCAGCGATAACTATCTACTCTCATTCTACCTTTCCATAGATCCCTATTCCTATCGTGCGGGTGTGTGTGCTTGGCTTTGGGTGCTTATCAATGAATCCAATTCACTTGCATTTATTCGTTGCTTTGCACCGGAAAGAATTTGGCGCAAAATCGAATTAGAGCAAGTACGGTTTATGCTCGTACGCCTCGTAACCGTGCATAGGAATGGTTACATTTTAGAGTCACATGCGCATGGACACTCACAACATATAGTACATGTACTCACGACCTTTTCATGATGTTGGTGATGGACACCGCGCGTTCGACGAATGAACGAACGGGGTGGTGAACTCTGCTGGTGGTGAACTCTGCTACTTCTGCGTTGTTCGACAGCGGATGAACCGATGCGTCTTATTCATCGACTCGTGGTCTTGCACGACGCGGTACGAGCGTCGGTATCCCTTTGGTCGTCACCAACGGGAGGAAAAACCTGTTGCTAACTTACTGGGCTGTTGAATGGCCGATCGCCTTGCCTAGGGTGCGTCTTTGATATTCGCGTCCCTCTTCCGGCGTACTCCGGGAACTTTGAAGCTGACGGTGGGGTCCGAAATGGCCACGGATGGTTCGGTGTGGTGTGTTGGACGTATATCGGCACTGCCACGAATCTACATTCGAAAAATAACCATTGTACCACGCACGTGTCAGCACGGAATTACATCAAGCAAATTGCATGTTCACTTTTACCTGCTTATTCACCAAAGCACAACCCGATAACACACAACCTGAGAAAATAGCACACATTTCTCACTTCTACGCTACGAAAAACTAATGGAAAGGATGTTGGTTAAATAAAGCTACACTAATCTAAACAGGTATCATGTCACCTTTTGGACAACACCACGGCGTGAGAACTACTTTGGGCCACTCCTGCCTCTTCCACGGATCAGTTCAAAGTGAACGAGACTAAGTTTGAAGATCCTCAGATTAACCGCGATCAGTCTTGTAAGCGGTCACGGTAGTCGACACATTTTCTGTGATAATTGACTGCCTTTGCCTTCGACACTTGCAAAGCAAGCTATCATAGTACAGTACCAAACTAAAATGTCGTATGACAGGATCTGTCATACGACACTGTCGCCGAAGACCGTCACGAATGTATGCATTTTAGTTTTTCTCATAATAAGAGCTGCTGATGGTGTGCTTGTGTGAATTCTGAAAATAGCAAGCAATGATGTCCTAGTAATAATATTTCTGATCAGAAATGGTTTGATTTACACCAAATTGAGGAATTACAACGAAATCACACTTGTCATATGATAGCTATTTTGATAATTTTCTTTTAGCTCGAATGTTATTCTACCGCTCGTGTTGTGTGAGAGAGACGACGGTAGAGCATGATTGTTCGAATACAAACAGATTGTCACGCACGACAACGAAGCGAGTGTAGTAA